TAGAGTCAAAATCAACTGTTAAACTCATCATGGCTATGTCAAGATTAATAAAATCTTTTGAAAAATTTATTTTTAAAAGACAAGCCAAATGACTGAGTATAGGTTTTAGCGTTATCAAAAAGGGGGAAAATTGATAGGAATATTTTTGTAATAAAGTTTTGATGAACCAAATGTACTTTATATCCCCTTAGAATTTAGGTATTTAGTACAAGCATCATAATTCAGAATATCAAGTCAGTATGCAAAGGAAAGACTACCACATGAATAACACAATTAATTTGGAAAATTAATTTTGGCCCTACGAGTATTCATCCAGAAGTCAAGCATTTAACAAAAGTGTTACAGAGAATGACTGGATGAGCTTAACGGCGAAATGGTAGAAGTCCTTATATACAACGATCACACCCAAAATCAAATCCCCCTCCAAGGACTTCCGGCTTTATAAGCCGGAATACAAAGAAACACAATGTCTCAAAAAGAAGCACGATCTCTCAAGTCAAACAAACATTTAAAGTCAAAGAAGCAATCTCGCAAGTCAAACAAGCACAATGTGTTAAAGTCAAAGAAGCAAGATGGGAAAAAAGAGCACAATGTGATCAGATCAAATGAGCACAATGTGATCAGATCAAAGGAGCACAATGTGACCAGGTCAAAGAAGCAAGATGTGTTAGGTCAAACAAGCGAGATGTGTCAAGTCAAACAAGCAAGATCTGATTTTGACAAGCAAGAAATGCAAAATAAGCACAATATGTCTCAAAGCAGCAAGATGTGACAAACAAGAAATAATATTAAATAAATTTGAATGAATTTATTTTGATTCATCCCACATGTCAAAAGAATCCAAATTGCCTGAAGATATGATCAGAACGGTGGAAAATTTATGAAGGCATGGATAAAAATCTTATCCTAGAAATAAATTCTATCAGAAAGATTTATTGCAAAGAGATGTTGGAAATTCAAAATTGGCAAGGATAATAATATTTTAGAAACAACTTGAAAATCAAGTTGAGATAATATATTATCTTGTCAGGCAAGTTGACAATCAAATCAAATTGAAGACCTACTATTGTCAACAATATCAAGCTACAAGATTCAAACTTCAAATATCAAAATATTCCACTCCAACGGATATATTTGATAATCTATAAAAAGGCCATGAAGACTTGAAGATACAAGACGAGAAGCGAAGTGCGGAAAAGAAACTACAAGTACATTATACGAGCAAAATTATCTTGTGTCAAACTATTCATTGAAATATCTGAAGAGAGACTTAGTCTGAATAGTCTCAAAATTAGTTGGAGAGAGATACAATTACCTTATATTTCTAATTGTAAAAATAGTATAACTATATGCAAAATACTCGAGTGAGTGTAGCTGTGTGCAAAACACTCGTAGTTGCTAAGTGTAGCTGTGTGCAAAACACTTATTGGCGTTTGAGTATAGCTGTGTGCGAAGTACTCCAAGTTGAGTGTAGCTGTGTGCGAGACACCCGGAGTTAGGTGTAGCTGTGTGCAAGACATCCAGAAGAAGTGCTTGTGTAGCGCTTATTCACTATTGTAACTGTGTGTGGAAAAATAGTGAATTACTCCTAGAAGTGAATGGAGTAAAGTGGACTAGGCAGATTACGCCACTTCCGAACCACTATAAATTGCCTCTTTCATTTACATAACGCACTTACATAATTTGCTTCATTTAGTTATTTTATTTGACTAACACGTTTACTATTCATTGTCAATCTTAATCTTTCGGGTTTAGTATGTTTTCACGTATGCATGTAACTCAACCTTTCCATGCTTAACATTTGAATTATTCTTAGCAAGTTTGACGTGTTGCATGTGACATAAATCATACGGTTGACTTTACACGAAGTCTTATTTATAATCTTGAATAATATTGTTAAATATTTAGTGAACCATCTCCTTTAAATATTCAAGATATTTATATCATCCTTACACATCATCTGAGCATATCTAATATGTGCATGTGAATCAATTTATTACTTGGGCATAATTCTTTACACATATTTATTCCGCTGTGCACTCCAAATTAAATACTTCTCTATTTACTTGTTATTTAGGGTTGAAATTACCAAAAAGTTATTAATTGTGAAAAAATTTAAAAAGTCTATTCACCCCCTCCCCCCCCCCCCCCCCCCCCCCCCCGCCCCCTCTAGACTTTTTACCACCATATCCGGACCAACAGTGGAGACCAGACTAGGTGATAGACTTAATTTCTAGACATTATTTAGAGTAATTTTAGTTAGTGATTTGCATAAATAAATTAAGTTTTAGGGTTAATTATATTATGAATATTATATTTAGTATATGTTACTAGTTTAGACTAGTTTAGATGAGTTTTAAAAAATATTAGGCTAATGTTGCATTTTTATTAATATATAAAGAAGAGTTCTATTTTATCTATTTTATTAAATTTATTTGTTAGTTTTATTCATTATATTTTTAATAAGTGTTTTAATACTTAAGTTTAATGGAGTTATTATGTCATTAGTTTATAATTATTTTATTTTATATTATTTTGTTTTGTTTTCCTTTTAGGGATTGGCGCAAGAGAAAGAAAAAAAAGGGATTAAGGTTTTGTTTTATATGGAAGGGTCGGCAGAGGATATACGAAAAAGAAAAGAGAGGAAAGATATAGAGGAAAGAGGCGAAACGGAACAGAAGGAAAAAATAGGGGAAAAGAGAGGAGTTGCGGCGGCAAAGTCGGCGTGCAGCGACGGGAACGTAGCAGCGGCAACTGAGCTTCAATCGTCACTAGTCCAGCTATCATCTCTTAGGCTTGAATTATTTTTCTTCCCTATTTATTTCTTGTTCAAATTTTCAGAATTCTGTTTCTTAAACTTTCAATACATTTAATTATGATTATTGGCTAGAATTCTAATTAGGGATTTGGATTAGCCTAGATTAGATTGAATGACTATTTTTCATATGTTGATTCTTCCAATTTCAATTTAATAATTGAACTTGATTATATTTATTTTATGTATTTTAATTGTGGATTGTGTGACTGGCCATTGCATATTTCCCATTATTAGGGTTTATAAGAAGAACTGACAGGTGAATTATGAACCTAGAACTCGTAAGATAAACACAATTGACCTAAACTAGACATAGCTTTAGGTATTTGTGGTGATATTTGATTGTTGCTTAATGGGTTTAATTAATGTTGGTGAGATATCGACGGATGGTCACAGTTAATTGTATACAACCTAGTAGCTCAACGGAGTATTAGGATATATTTGAAGCAATCATCACTATAGTCATAAGAATTAATACTTAGGAGAGTTAGTTAATTATCTAATAGGTGAACTCAAATCCCTAGTCTTCTCTCAATTGAAAGTTTTCTTTGCATTAAATTCATAAATATTCTTTATAATCACATTAATTCTATTTATTTGAGATTTTCCTTATCAACAATTCGATTATTAGAGATAACAGTTAATAGTGTTCTTCGTGGGATCGACCCTGGAATACTCCAGGAATTTATACTGTGATTGACTCTGTGCGCTTGCAGATTATAGCAATCAAGTTTTTGGCGTCGTTGCCGGGGACACTTTATTAAACTGTTTTCTTTAAATTTTTCTTTTCAAATTTATTTTAGTTGTTTGGTTCGTTATTATTTTATTTTTATTTTTATTTTTATTTTTATTTAGTTTTTGTTCTTTCTATTTTTATTTGGTTTGTTTATGAACTTAAGGCGATAAAAAAGGCATAAGAACGTTGAATTATTTTCCGTTGATCTTGAAATTGAGCGTACTTCCAGAAATAACAGGGTACGGAGGCGGCTTGAAATGGCTGAAAACAATAGAGTGGGTCAACAGGATGACCCTGTACCACCAATAGTTCCACCTCCTCAAAATCAAACAGCTCAACCACGTCTTCGAGACATCCAAAGACCGGTAATAGCCATTAACCCTTCTTGCATTCAATTATCTTATGCAGCTAGAAATTATGAACTCAAGACCTTCCATCTGAATATGCTCCCGACCTTTAGCGGTTTGGGAAGTGAAGATGCTTTGGGTTTCATGCGAGAGCTCTATAGTACGGTACAAACTTTACCTTTGAATAATTTATCTGAGGAAGAGCTTAGAATGAAATGTTTTTCATATTGCATGAGGGGTGATGCTAGGCAGTGGTTGTTAAATTTACCAGAGGGTTCTTTAAGAGTTTGGGATGATGTTTACAATGCTTTCATGTTTAAATATTATTCATCTCAAAAGACAATGGACTATAGGAGTAGAATATGCACTTTTACTCAAAGAGAGGGTGAATTGTTTCATGGGGCATGGGATCGTTTTAAATTGCTTTTGACCCAATGTCCACACCATCAATTCCCATTGTTATTGTTGACACAATTCTTTTTTGATGGTTTAACTCCTAATTGTCAGTCTCTTGTAGATACTACTGCAGGTGGATACACAGGTGATAAAAAATAGTGATGAATTAGAAGCTATCTATGAGAACTTAGCTAGTAATTCTCGACAAAAGGCAGTGAGAAGTCGAAGAGCTGCTATGCATGAAATTAGCACACAATCTGAGTTGACAACACAAGTGGCTGAATTGACTAAAGAGATGAACTTGTTGATGACTCGTGATAGTTCGAATAGAGAATTTTGTATTTATTGCAATGCATATGGTCATAATTCTTCTATTTGTATGAATGCAGAGTCATCGCAACCATATTATGAAGAAGCCAATTACATGGGATCCAATATGGGTAGGCAACAACCAAGGAGTGATCTGTTTTCCCATACCTATAATCTAGGTTGGCGAAACCATCCTAACTTCTCATGGAGAGATCAAGGTAATGCAAGACCAATGGGACCACCTGGATTTCAGCAACAAGGGCCATCAGGATTCCAGCATCAGCAATACAGACCTTTCCAGCAGCCACCTGCACCACAACAGTCTCAACTTCCTGCTCAGGAGAAGAAGCCTCAATAGGAGGAGATGTTCATGCAATACATGGCTAGCCAGGACACGATGATGAAGAAAATGGATGCAAAGATTGATAAGGTTGCTCAGTCTAACCAAGCATCCATTTATAATTTAGAGGTGCAAGTAGGTCAATTGGCTAAATTGGTTGCAGAAAAAGATCGAGGTAAGTTTCCTAGTACCACTGAAATAAACCCTAGAGAAGGAGCTATGGTTGTCACCTTGAGAAATGGTAAGATGTTGAATGAAACTTTGAAAGAAAAAGAACCCATGAGTGTTGAAAAAGAGAGTGATAAAGAAGAAGAGCAAGTGTCTAAAGAGAATTCTAGTGATCAAAACCTCACTTCCTTTAAAGTAAAACCTTATGTACCCCCCATTCCATACCCACAAAGGTTACAAAAAAGGAACCAGGACAATAACTTTAAAAGATTTTTGGAGGTTTTTAAAAAATTGCAGATTAATATTCCTTTTGCAGAAGCACTTGCTAATATGCCATCTTATGCCAAGTACATTAAGGAAATTGTATCTAATAAAAAGAAACTAGAAGAGTTTACTACTGTGCATCTAAATGAGGAGTGTAGTGCTATTCTACAAAGCAAATTACCTCCTAAGTTAATGGATCCAGGAAGTTTTTCTATTCCTTGCACTATTGGTAATACTGTTGTTGATAAATGTTTATGTGATCTAGGTGCCAGTATTAACCTTATGCCTTTAACTCTTTTTAAGAAGTTGGAAATAGCTGAAATGAAGCCAACAACAATCTCTCTTCAACTTGCTGATAGATCAATCAAGTACCCGCTTGGAGTAATGTAGGATATCTTGGTAAAAGTTGGTAAATTTTATTTTCCTGCTGATTTTTTGATTTTGGACATGGGTAGTGATACAGATACATCCCTTATACTTGGTAGGCCATTTTTGTTAACAGGAGGAGTATTAATTGATATGCCTTTAGGGAAACTGATTTTTAGAGTAGGAACAGAAAAAGAGGAATTCTCTATCTCTAAAGCTGTAAAATTACCAACTTTTGATGAATTATGTCTTTTTGTTGATGTTATTGAGAAACCTTCAGAAGAAGAATTTGTTAAGCATTCACCTAGTGAAACACCACATCAACTTGAACTTAAACCACCTTCATTGCGGTTCAAATACGAATTTTTTAGTAACAATGATACTTTTCTTATGTTTTCTTGTGCTCATTTACTTCATGCAAAAGAAGAGAGATTATGGAGAACATTGACTAAAGCTTGGCAGGACAAAAATAATTTTTGGAGAGAATTCAATATAAGGCAAGAAGTTTTGTTGTCTAATTCTTGTATTAAGCTTTTTCTAGAGAAATTGAAGTCTAGATGGTTTGGTCCTTTCATGGTCACTAAAGTTTGTTCGTATGAGGCCATAGAGATTGAAAGAGAGAAAAAGAGACCATTCATGGTTGCTTCACCAAAAGGCAGCCCCGGAAGAAACTGGCAACTAACAGGGAAGTTTCCTGTTTATTTCATTTTCTCATACCTGCTTTTATATTTAACATTGAGGACAATGTTGAGTTTGAGTGTTGGGAAGGGAAAGTAAGATTAGGAGATGTTTTCTGCAAGTTTTATGCAAAATAAGCAATATCAAAAAAAATTCTGCATTTTTCCTGCAATTTTCTGCAACATTTTCTGCATTTTCTCTATTTTTCTGCATTTTGCTACAGTAAAATTCTGCATTTTTCTTTCTACATTTTCTGCACTAATTTTCTGCATTTTATGGGATTTTCAGCGTCATTTCTTTCATTTTTCTGCAATTTTTCAGCAAAATAAAGTTAAAAAAAAATGTCTTCTAATGACTATGTTGATTGGGAGATAAGCTCTAGAGTTTTGGGAGTGCATAATACCAATGAATGTGTTTGGCTATATGTATGCTTGCATAGAGTTGGTAGTCAAATTCTGTCACACCGTGAGCTTTTGAGCTTAGAGGTTGCCCACTGCAATTTATTTTCTTTTTGAGTGTTTATTTGCCCTCTTTGATTGTGTTACTTCTAGAACTTGCGTCATACCATTTCAGAGCTACATGTTATATGATGACACGGGAATGATTAAGGCATTAGGATTTAGCCTTATGGCCTTAAAAATGCCCACATCCTTATACATGTTATTTTTCCCCTAGTTAACCATTTTGAGCTTTATTATAAATAAATGTAAGACGTTTTTCTTCATTAGCTAGTTCCAAAGAACCTTAGCTCATAAAATGAAGCCTCTAAACCCATCCTTGGGTCAGTGGATGTCATTATTTCATTTATCTGTGCAAGATGACCAAAAGTGATGAAGTATGGGTGATATTGGAGTTGACAGGTGAATGTTTAACTGGTTTTCTTTGAGTGAAGAATTGTTTGTGATCAAAGGGGGTGAAAATGAAAAAAAGAAAAAAAAAAAAAAAAGAAGAACAAAATGATATGTTCTAATTTGTGGGTTGAAAATCTTGGTAGCCCAAACTTCTGTGCTCATTTTATTCTTCAAATGATTTATGAGCAATGGGGCCTGATAGAAATTTGATGATTATGGGAAGAGTACTATTGAGGGTGATGTGGAAATGATGAGCTATCTATTCGGTTTTACCAGAAAGGAAAAAAAAGGAGAAAAAAAAAAGAAAAATTGAAAAAAACCGAGAAAAAAAAAAAGGATGGGAAAGAGATGAAGGTTTTGGAAGTTGTTTTGAGAGTTTATCAGCGAAAAATGAAGTAGTGATTGCTTGTTTTGGTAGAGTTCGTTTTATTGGTAGAATACAAGTTCTTGCTCTTGGTATGGTGAAATTATGGCCCTACTGATTCCTTGGACTTTATTTGTATTTCCTTATATCCTTTCTTTCTTAAACCACATACCCTTGGCTCCATTACAACCCAGAAATAAAGACCTTTTGACTCGTGTTCTTCATATAATTTTGGTAGTGGAGTTTTGGTGGACAAGCAAGCCTATGGCAAGTGCACTCTCAATAGAGGAAGATGTGTACCTTTCTTATACATATATTTATGAGAGATTGAGTGAACAACTGTGAGGACTACTATTCTCTATTGTCTTGTGTGCATATGACTTTGAACTCTCATGAAGTATTATGTGTTCACCAATTCCCTTGAATTGAATGCCTAGTTGACATGGTTATGGTTGGTAGTTTGATTTCATTGAATAAGTTTGCTTGGGGACAAGCAAAGCATTGAGTGTGGGGAAGTTTGATAGACTTAATTTCTAGACATTATTTAGAGTAATTTTAGTTAGTGATTTGCATAAATAAATTAAGTTTTAGGGTTAATTATATTATAAATATTATATTTATATCATCCTTACACATCATCTGAGCATATCTAACATGTGCATGTGAATCAATTTATTACTTGGGCATAATTCTTTACACATTTATTCCATTGTGCACTCCAAATTAAATACTTCTATATTTACTTGTTATTTAGAGTTGAAATTACCAAAAAGTTATTAATTGTGAAAAAGTTTAAAAAGTCTATTCACCCCCCCCCCCCCCTCTAGACTTTTTACCACCATATCCGGACCAACAGTGGAGACCAGACTAGGTGATAGACTTAATTTCTAGACATTATTTAGAGTAATTTTAGTTAGTGATTTGCATAAATAAATTAAGTTTTAGGGTTAATTATATTATAAATATTATATTTAGTATATGTTACTAGTTTAGACTAGTTTAGATGAGTTTTAATAAATATTAGGCTAACCGTGCATTTTTATTAATATATAAAGAAGAGTTCTATTTTATATATTTTATTAAATTTATTTGTTAGTTTTATTCATTCTATTTTTAATAAGTGTTTTAATATTTAAGTTTAATTGAGTTATTACGTCATTAGTTTATAATTATTTTATTTTATATTATTTTGTTTTTTTCCTTTTAGGGATTGGCGCAAGAGAAAGAAAAGAAAGGGATTAAGGTTTTGTTTTATATGGAAGGGTCGGCAGAGGATATACGAAAAAGAAAAGAGAGGAAAGATATAGAGGAAAGAGGCGAAACGGAACAGAAGGAAAAAATAGGGGAAAAGAGAGGAGTTGCGGCGGCAAAGTCCGCGTGCAGCGACGGGAACGTAGCAGCGGCAACTGAGCTTCAATCGTCACTAGTTCAGTTATATCTCTTAGGCTTGAATTATTTTTCTTTTTTATTTATTTCTTGTTCAAATTTTTAGAATGCTGTTTCTTGAATTTTTCATACATTTAATTATGATTATTGGCTAGAATTCTAATTAGGGATTTGGATGAGCCTAGATTAGATTGAATGACTATTTTTCATATGTTGATTCTTCCAATTTCAATTTAATAATTGAACTTGATTATATTTATTTTATGTATTTTAATTGTGGATTGTGTGACTGGCCATTGCATATTTCCCATTATTAGGGTTTATAAGAAGAACTGATAGGTGAATTATGAACCTAGAACTCGTAAGATAACACAATTGACCTAAACTAGACATAGCTTTAGGTATTTGTGGTGATATTTGATTGTTGCTTAATGGGTTTAATTAATGTTGGTGAGATATCGACGGATGGTCACGGTTAATTGTATACAACCTAGTAGCTCGACGGAGTATTAGGATATATTTGAAGCAATCATCACTATAGTCATAAGAATTAATACTTAGGAGAGTTAGTTAATTATCTAATAGGTGAACCCAAATCCCTAGTCTTCTCTCAATTGAAAGTTTTCTTTGCATTAAATTCATAAATATTCTTTTTAATCACATTAATTCTATTTATTTGAGATTTTCCTTATCAACAATTCGATTATTAGAGATAACAGTTAATAGTGTTCTTCGTGGGATCGACCCTGGAATATTCCAGGAATTTATACTGTGATTGACTCTGTGCGCTTGCAGATTATAGCAATCACTAGGTATACACGGACCTTTGGGAGCCTCTAGCTCAAGAGTTGGAGACCAAGGTAATCCTACTTCAAACCGCAGTTACCACCTAAAACTGGTTAATATTAGGTTTGCTTGTTAGGAACCGCAAGTATGTTGTGGTTCGTTAATTTGACACACCTAGTCGTACGCTAGTTCTAGAGTTTAGTGGAGTAAACTAGCCTAGCTCGGGGACAAGTTTTGGTTGGTTTGACGGGGTGTAAAGCCTCATGGCAAGCAACCCTCAAGTTGTTAACCACACCTTCAATCTTAATTACCATACAACTTACTTTCTAAACTGCTTATTGTACTTAACCTCGTTGCCTCTAAGCTTCGAGGACGAAGCTTCTTGTTAGGGGGGAAAAAGTGTAACACCCCGTAATTTTACCCTTCAAACCCGAATTAATTATCTAATTAATTCTTAAGTTGCCCCATCATTATTTTAATGATGTCCGTTAAGTGTGATTAAAAGGATTTAATCTGGCCCAAAATCCCTTAAGTTATTGATATGGTCCATGGTGGACCGTTGACCCTTGTCAGTATTAAAGCCTTTAAGCCTATTAGAATAAAGAAGGTGGGCCCAATACTATTCAGACTTTCATTAGGAATCCTAAACCTACTTAAGAGGAACCAGGGATCAATTAGAACCCTTTTCACCCATCCCTCTCTCTCTCACTTGAAAATCCCTCCCAAAAGATAGCCAAAGAATTCCAGTCACCGAGCTTAGGAAAGATCAATTGGAAGAAGAACTTGAAGAAAGATCTTAGGAGTTGTGAGAAGTTTAATTAAGCAAAAAGGTAAATCATGTCTTACAAAACCTATTTTCCTTGCTATGTTATGATTTATTGGAATCCTTGAATGATGAATGTGTTATCTTGTAATTATGCCTTGATAGAGCTTATATTTAGGGCTCATATTGTTATCTCTTGATATTCTTGATGTTCTTGATGTTCTTGGGCGATTATATGCTTATTCTTAGGTTATGCATGTTTAGAGCTTGTGCTTAGGGTTCAATAATGTTGTTCGTTGAGTCATTTTGTGTATTCAAGTCCCTATAATTGTTGATGTGAGTTTTGGGAGGGTTTGGATTTGAATTTGGGCAAAATTGGTGACTTCTCGATGTGGGAAATTTGCCAAGAAGAGTTTTTCTAGCGGGTAGTAGGTGGGGGGACGAACCCCCACTCGACCACCCGCCGGACGGCGGGTAACGTTCCAGCGGGTAGCTGGCGGGTGGACGGCCACCCGCTGGTACGGTGCGGTGCGGTGCGGTGGTCGGTTGGTCTCCATTGGTCGATCCCACTAGTACAAAATTGCAGATAGGCAACCATTGTAAAAGACAATAGGCTACCATTCTACAATGGTCGCCTATGAGAGGCTCGCGCAAAGTCATGGACTTTACGCGACCATTTCAAAATGGTCGCGCATTGTCGGTAATACACGACCATTCTTGACCAAGAATGGTCGCGTATTGTTTTTTTATTTTTTTTATTCAAATGTAATACGCGACCATTCTTAGATAGGAATGGTCGCGTATTGTCTTTTTAAAAATAAAAAAAAATTAAAAATAATTTTAAAACTATATTATTTTGCACCATGCAATTCTCACACAACCATTATGAAATTACTACAGTATTGTAAAAAACAATAAATGAAATTACATATTTACAATTCTAAATTAAAAATAATTGAAATCTACAAAAGAAAAGAATGAAATTACAACAAATAATTGTATCAGAAATATGTCTTGCACCAGAAAGAGAGCTCCCAAACTGATCCTCCAAGAAGAACAACTTCACACCACAAATAATTGTATCAGAAATATGTCTTGCACCAGAAAGGACCTAGGCCCAATTTTAGATTCTAACAGTTATCAAAAGATGTAAAGCAAAATCCATATTTTGTACTAGAGAATTTCCAAGTTCAATATAGTGAAGTGTCTCTTGCCATCAACTTAGTTTCATTGTAAGGACAGAAGAGCAAGATGCATAAATTTCTTTATAAGCAGCAGTAGTCAATCCAAAGAAAATATGACAGCAGCACACAATTCCAGTTCAAAAATGAAGCAACTTTTCTTTCCTGTCTAACTAAGGAACTTAACTAGTGCATTGAGCATGATGTGTCCAAACACAAGGAAATGATGAGAAAGGGAATCTAAAAATCCTATTTTGTATTTCCAGTTTTTAAAATCATTTTTGTAGTTATTTTGGAAAGTTGGATTGAAAAATCTTTAAAGAAAACATGTTCATTAGTTGTAACCTTGTAATTAGAAAAACAAAAAAGGAGGCAAATATGTTCAAATTTGGATCATTTTTGTAGAAAAAGAAGAAAAGTGTACAACTCTTCCTTACTGATCAAGTACAATGCACACACACATACATGAAAAAGAATTTTAGGTTATCAAAACTAGGCATAAACACATTAAGTGGACGGTTCAATAATAACTGTTCAACCCTTGGTATTTATTTCTCAACAATTTTCTTCATACAAAAAATATCAAAGCGAGTGGTGGTGGGAGGAGGAGAGCAACAATTATGGTGAGCAGTGGGGGACAGTAGTAGCAGGATGTATTATGACTAACCTTATTACATTGGATGATGCCATAGAGGCTGTCAGGCTCATTTATTTGTGTAACTGCAGAGACTAGTATCTCAATGTGTTCTGGAAGCTGAAAGCCAAGACAAGAAAAAGGCATACTTTAAAATGCTTTGTATTAGTTATGCAGTTAGTATAGCAGTAAACCCAGTATCGATAGTTTGATTTCAGATTAGTGTTCTACAAACATTAAAAGCAGTTAAGAAACAACAAACTTGTCCATTAATAAGTCAAATCAAATGTGCATAGTACAAACTCACTATTTCAAGATGGGAGAAGTCTGGATTCCCCAAGGTAAGGCTGCTAAATCTTTCCTTGCACCAGTATTCCACATACAAAAGTGCACTAAAGTAAGCACCAGAAGTCTGAAAATAATATACAAAATAATAATTAATCCCACTCATTCTAGCAGCATAAGCCTCTACTGAAGTTAGCACACAATTTTGGGGTATGAAAGCAGGTAGATGCCTGGGTTTAAATCCCACTTGCTACCCATCATCACAATTTACATGGCTTCATCTATCCAAAAGAATTTGTCCCAGACATGAAGGAATATGTTCAAGGTGATAAATAAAATATTAAAATTTTCCCTCTCAAACACCTTGATGTGTTAAGTACAACTGAAAGGTGACACTAATAGACCGGGAGAAATACTAAAGATTAGGAAGTGAAACATTAATAGTGGAGAGTGTTAAGCTCTAGCACTCACAATTGCAAACTTGGCAACAACCAGATAGTCTATGGGAAGCCAATACACCTAACCAAGAAGAAAGAGAAAGAAGTCAAAGAACACAAGTCAGAAATATGTTAAAAGAAATAAACAGGATAACTATCGTTTCTTACATATATTAAACACCAATACATGTTGGCAATAACAAATAAATAATCTTTGAAATCTTGATGTCATCAAACAAACTAAAATAGTTGTCTGTCACAATACTGATTAACATAATAGTTAAGAAATTATGATCAACTAGATTCCACATGAAAATTTCTTTGGTGCCTATTACTACTAACAATGTGCAGCTATTGAGCAATTACTTTTTTGAACACAAAATCATAAAATTAAATGTGCAATAGCACTTGCACAAAGCATAGAACATCAGGATTGAAGATATATAGCAAAGTATATAGTAACCAACAAATTTTTTACCTTATCCCAAAGCAATGTGGAGAATGCAGATCCAGATGACGTTGTTGGCTGATCCTTTACCTTAACTATTGCAGAGCGGGATCTTGATCCATAACTTGAGGGCCTTGAGTATTGCTGAAAATATCAGGCAATACTGTTAATAATTAACAGCGAAATGTTGATAAAAATCATCCCACCAGTTGCATCATATCAACCTTCAAATTTTCCTGCTTATGTGCAGTAGAAGACGAAATTGCTCGTTCAGTTACATGGCACAACCGAAGAACATTAAGTGCTTCTAGTACAACTTGAATTGATTTAGTCAGCTTGTTGCTCCCAGTAAAAATATTTTCCTGCACCTAAATACAAACATAGAGATAATAACTATTCCTCATTCAACATAGAGAGGAAGTGATAACTAACATTCAAATTTATAGACCATATGCATGTCACGGTTTAATTAGCCAAGGTAATCAGTATTATATTAGAGCATTAGTAGTTTGCTTTTATGCAACCTATCCTACATTGGCTGGGATTACGTTATAACTAACAGAATAATTGTAAGATAATTTTTAAAAGTTAAGAACAGCAAGAAGAGAACCTTGATAGGTTGGAAATCACTTCAGGAAATAGAAGTTCTGCAACTTCAGATTTCACCAACACAATTTCTTGACATAATCTAGAGGAATATGGAAAATTTTCATGTAAAATGTAGATCATCCCGGCAAGGCATAAAAAACGAGACAATTGCTCTTTTAAAGAAGAAACCCACCTTATAATAGTATCATTGCAATATCCAATTAGAGCATGCACAAGTGGGCATATCCATGTCTCAAAAGTTTTCTCATCAGTACTCCACAAAGTAGAACTCTCCAGTGAAGTTGCTTCAGCTGCCCATGGACAAGAATATTTTGCCTAACCAATTCCTTATCACCAGGCAGATTTTTTTATTGCTCTCCTACATTCACAGTGTATAGTAGTTATAGATATATGCCTATAAATTCACAAAACAAATAGTAAGCAATGAAAGTACTACCTGGATCGTGAGGAGACCAATTCTTGGTAGTGAAGTTCTTAAAATTAATACTTGCCGAATGCCGGACTTCATTATGAGAGGACCCATCCAATATTATCTGCAGCAACCTCACAATATTATTCTAACTTTAAACATAAAACCTAAACATTTTGACAAAATAATTATACTAACTGGCAATTGGACAAGGAAAATCTTCAACTTCTTTAATAAATGGTGAATTGAGTAAATAGCTAAAATAGTTTAGATGTAAATACAATGGATTTCACATCTATACAAATTGTATAGGAAAATAATGCAACAAAAAAATCAAAATCCACCACAATTGCAATGAAAGCATTCAAAAATTGAAAATTGAACTTACTGCTCCACATTGACAATAATAATCTTTCAACTGTTCCAAAATGACATAGTATCTCTCCATGTCCCTTCCAACTGTATATCTTCTGAACATTTCGCCCAAAAAACGCGTAAGGGAGTTAGAGATGAGTATTAAGGGTTTTATGGTCTCTGAACGTATCACCCAAAGAATCAGAAAACATCGAGTTAGATTTGAGACAGAAACAAAATGAAAAACAGAGAGAAACCTCTGAGCTTTCCTCTTCTTCGGTGGAGCGGCGGTCGTGGGTGTCTGAAGCAGGGGCGGAGGCGTCAGCAGATCAGCGGTGAAGGCTTGTCGCGGTGTGGTGCGTCGTCGATAGGTCGCCGCTGCTGCTGTGCATTCTTGTTATCGGATTTCCCCGCCGATTGAGAGCTTGATGGAGCAATCGAAGAAGCACTGCCGGCGATTTTACGAGGAAGAAAGGGAGACGATTTGTGAGTGTTGAGGAAGAGGAAGAAGCACGGCTGGTGTTGGCGTTAGACTAGGGTTTGTAAGTGTTCGAAGATCTGGCGGTGAGACGATTTATGCGTGAAGGAAGCTTTTAGATCTACTGTGCGTGGGATACGATTTCTGATCTATTAAATCTAGGGTTAATATTAGGCAACCATTTATATTATAAATGGTTGTCTATTATAAAACAACTTCTATTGTAAGGCAACCATTTCTATCTATTATAAATTATTATTATTTTAATTAAATAAAAAATACAATGGGCAACCATTACAGATAACAACGGTGGCAGATTATTGATAACTTATTTACAAAATTGTCACCGCAATTTTTTAGGCTAAGATTAGGCAACCATTCTTTCAACAATGGTGGCCTATGGTCAATCTTCTATGTTCAATTTTATACTAGTGTCCCCATGCACCAATGTGTTTTCTTTGATGTTTGTAAATCTAGAGCGATGTCCTAAGCACCGTAATTAAGATTTGTGAGTCGTGATTATGCATGAGGTCTAAACTTGTATCGTGTCGATTCAAAGTATGGTTTATAGTGCCCCCTCCCCTTATGAGTCTTGTGGGTTATGTTGATGTCACCCAAAGTAAAGTTCATGATGTACCCCGTAGGTCGAATGTTTATATTGATGTAACTTGTCGTTGTGAGTCTGTTCGTATGTTGTTCCTTCCCCCTGCTTACCCTTTGTGGAAGTCATTGTTAAGTCTTGAATGTGATATTGATGTCCATGAGGATGAATTGAAGATTGGTGGCTTGATATTGTGCTGCGGTACAATTATCAATTGGGGATGCACTGCGCGTGCTTATGTTACGGTGATGCGGTACCTATGTGATTGCACTGTGTGTGCTTAGATTATCATGCTGCGGTACGATCAGGTTTATGGCACTGCGTGTGCTGAGAGATCGGTGGCATGTTGGAGGAAATGTGGGTGGGGAGCATTGCTCTGGAGGGATAAGGCTGATGATGTACAGGGTGGTCTGGAGGTACAGGTTGGAACTTATATAAGGATAGAGAGGAGTAAAGGTTGGAACTTGGTATAAGGTTGGAACATGGACGTGTCTTGTGGTCTTATTGTGATCTGTTATTGTTGTCGTGTCTTGTGGTCATGGTTTGTTATTGTGTCTCTTATTGTTGTCTTGTCTTGTGGTCATGGTTTGCATGCTTGTATCGTAATGTTGTCGTGTCGTGTCAATGTTAATGAGAGTTGTTTAGGACTATATGTATGTATTCCCAAGTCTCAAAATGGATTCTTATATATATATATATATATATATATATATATATATATATATTGTACTCAACGCGTGGGAGTGAGTTACTTAGAATTATTCGCTAACGGTTGCTACACTGCATGTTTTTTAAGTACAGATTAGTCGGCTCGTGAGCGCGCTAGACAGAGTTGTGGTTCCTAGCTTAGTTAGTAATTAGCTTTAGTTTGTTGGCCTGTGAGCCGTTTTTTATTCGAATGATACTTATGGATTATGGTTAGTGAGTTAGTAGCCTGTGCATCTAGGTTTCTCTAGCTTAGATGTGGCATAGCACCCCCAAACTATTATGTGTAGCTCCCACTCTATTTTGGGTATTAATTATAGTTTTATCGTATTACGTAAGCTTTAATTGCTTTAAAATATGCTGAAAATCGGGGTGTTACATTAAGAGATTGCAATTCTGTAATTTGTAGTAAAGAAGTTTCTAACCCAAGTAATTTTGCGTCTTCTCGTTGCGCAGGCTTTAGAGACTGGATTTTTCGATAAGGCTTAATTGACATGGGGTATTCGGGATCCAAATATACATGGACCAGAGGTGTTGATTCACGGCAAATTATGTTGTGCATCCGTATGCACCATGCATGGTGCATACGGATGCAAAAACGACGTCGTTTTATTAAAAACGCGCGTCTCCCCTTAAAAAAAAAAAATCAGGTTCGATTCCCAGCAACAACATATGAACTAAAATTCCAGAATCGATGAACTATAATTCCAGAATCGATGAACTATAATTCCATAATCTATGAACTAAAATTTCAGAATCTAATCTATGAACTAAAAATTCCAGAATGAATGAACTAAAATTCCAAAATCTATGAAATAAAATTTCAGAATCGATGAACTACAATTCCAGAATCGATGAACTATAATTCCAGAATCAATGAACTAAAATTCCATAATCTATGAACTAAAATTCCAGAATGAACAACATAATGGTGTTGCTGGGAATCGAACCTGAATTTTTTTTTAAGGAGAGACGCGAGTTTTTAATAAAACGACGTCGCTTTTGCATTCGTATGTACCATGAATGGTGCATACAGATGCACATCATAACTATCCTTGATTCACCAACCTTCAAAGGTCCGCGATTAGACCGGGCGCTGTTCAACTCGGAATGGAGGCTCAGATTCCCGAATGCTGAGGTCCTTCACCTCCCGAGGATTAGCTCGAATCACTACCCCCTGCTTGTTCGTTTGGCACCCTCAACACCTGGTAACAGTCAAAGGAAATTTAGGTACAATGCTGCGTGTTCCACACATCCTGATTTTTTAGACTTTGTTCAAAAGAGTTGGGGCTCAAATTCAAGTCTGGAGGAGTGTAAACGATTGCTAGCCCATAAGCTGGACTCATGGAATAGATCTACTTTCGGTAATATTTTCCACAAGAAAAAGAGATTGCAAGCTAGAATTCAAGGGGTACAAAGGTGCCTAGATATCGAACAAAAGCCGGAACTGATTAAACTAGACCGGAAGCTCCATCGGGAATATGAGGATGTCATACTCCAGGAAGAATTGCTGTGGTTTCAGAGATCTCGTGAGCAGATCGCCTCCGGTGACCGCAACACCAGATTTTACCACATGGCTACAATGGTCAAAAAGAGAGCTTTGGGGATTAGTAGTCTGAGAGATGCACAGGGTGTCCTGCTGTCGGATGAGGGTTCAATTATGGATCACATTAGAACTTATTTTTCTCCTCAGGGTGAACTGCTGGGTAACTTTCCGAACTTGCTAGCAGAGGAATGGCAACAGGTTAACAGACCTTTCACTGATGCGGAGATCAAACAGGCTCTATTCGACATGGCTACAAACAAAGCCCCGGGGCCGGACGACTTTAATGCGGGTTTTTTTCAAACAGTTTGGAATACGGTGGAGAAGGATGTGATAAGTTTTGCCAAGGCTTTCTTTTGCAGGGGTGATCTTCCAGCCTCATCCAACGACACTTACTTGTCCCTCATTTCGAAAGTTTCCAATCCAGACTCTGTAAAGCAAGTAAGGCCAATTAGGTTGTGTAACATCACGTATAAAATAGTTACCAAGGCCATGACATCTAGGCTACCAAGCTTGAAACTAAGTAGGCCATTGTGGAGTATTTGGCCATCCCAGAAACAAATGATATGGGAAAATACCTGGGAGTTCCCTCCTTACATGGCAGGAATAAAAAGGAGACATATTATTCTTTGATCTCAAGAATGGAGGAGAAACTTGCAGGCTGGAAAGGCAAATCCTTATCCCTTGCTGGCAGGTGCACCTTGGCCCAGGCTGTGTTAGCAGCTATTCCTCTATATTCTATGCAAACAGCAATCCTCCCGACGGGCATCATCTCCCTCATGGAAAGGCTTATAAGGGATTTCATCTGGGGCTACATACATTGGTGATAAGAGAGGAATAAACCTCGTGGCATGGGACAAGGTTACACTAACCAATGACAGAGGGGGTCTGTGCCTTAGGAGGTTGGACGCTATGAATATGGCTTTTTTAACCAAGCTGGGGTGGAGATTTCAAGCTCGGGAAGACACGTTGTGGGTCCAAGAAAGATTAAACAATGGATTAGTTAGATTGCATGAGAAGGTGGATGTGCTAGATGATGCCTAAAAGGATGAAGGAGTAGGTACCCTTTGAACTGATATTGAAACGTATGGAACAAGTTTATCAAGTGCCATTGTGCCACATTCTTTAAGGGGTACTGTTGGTCGCGTGGGGTTGGATTATAAATCTAGAAGGGGAAGGGGGGAATACACTTTTATGACTTTTTAAAATTTATTTCGAATGATATGATTAAGTCCAAGTAAACTTGAACATAGAATATTTGTTTTGAAATGGAATACGCAACAAAATTGATTTTTTGCTTGATTTTTGAATATTTAGCGCTTGAGATTTATCTCACTAGTTGTGAGTTTGAGTTCTAGTTTGCCTTTTCTCTCTTAACAATTTTTGTATTCCAGCTTTCTTCAACTTCGAATGAAGGTATTTATAGACCCCTTTGAATATGTCCATTATATTTGAGGGAACATCACTTGGCAATAGGAGGAAAATTGGAGAATGCATCACTTGGTGGAAGATGAGAGTGTTGAATGGTCAAGAACTATCTAACAACACAAGTTGTCACTACAAAAAAAAAAAAAAAAAAAAAAAAATCACATTTAGTGACAACACAAGTTATCATCAAAACTATCGATTTTGGTCACGAATAAAATTAGTGACCAGTGTTTGAAGTTGTCACATGTTGTCACTATATATATCCTCCATCACTATTGTAATGGGGGGGGGGGGGGGACTTTTGAAACGTTATCATAATTACTCAAGACTTTTGTAACAAGTTTTACTTACAATAAAAGTATTATTTGAGTGATAATAATAGGGGACACAATAAATTTACATTCTGTGACCAAACATGTTATTACAAAAACTGATCTTGTGACAACTAAAATTGTTGTAATTAATCATTTTGTTGTGATAACACTTTAGTCATAATAATTATATTGTACTTATTTGGGAGAATTGTTGTTGGCTTAAAATGGTTATTAGTGACCTAAAAGTGATAACAGATAATTACTTTGTTGTGGCAACAATCATGGTAACAAATGTTGTATTTATTTGTAACAAAAAAAAAAGGTTAACTTTGAAACATTCATTATTATTAAATAAAGTCATAACAACAATTCAATTTCTTGTAGCAATCATCTTCGTCACTAATATCTTTAAAAATAGTGACAGCATATTTGTCCAATTGTTATGCTGTGGAACTGTGTCCACCTTGCAAGGTGGACACGGTTCTATGTTCATAATTACCGAACTATATGTTCATAATTACAAAGCTATGTGGTCGTTTACTAACTTGGAGAAATGGAGGATTTTCTGAAAAATTGAAAAATTGA